CTTTTATGTATACATTTTCTTTTTTTTTTTTCCCCTCTGAAACTAAGTTTTTCCTCGAGCCTTGTGAAGGTTAGGATATATGTAAAGTAAATGAAAGTTCACCATAGCTCAAAAATAAACCAAACAAAAAAAGGAACACATACCAGGAATTCAGAAATAACAGCATTATCTGGGGAGGAATTCCTGTTTTGTAACAAGAAAAGCAAAGCCAGAGGCTGAAGGAGTATTGTAGTAAATCAAACGAAATATCAACAGGTAAGATACCACTGTATCTGACTCAAATTTGGCTGACAGAAGTCTGCTCTTGAGTTCAAAGTAATTTGGATGGGACTGGGGAAGAGGATACCTCTTTGCACACATACAAGAAAAAGAAGTCTTTAAGCAGTCAAAAGTACAAAGGAATACCTGATAAATATTTGGTTACATTTGTGTGGAGGATTTGAAATAGTAACCAAATCAACTGTTTCTTGAGTTCACTAAAGTCTGTACAAAGGACAGAAATGTTGTATTGTTGGCCTGTAGGAAGTAGAAGGGATAACAATAATAATGTGCATATTGGGAAGCAGATGTGCCTTAATAAAAGCGCTGTATGTATCTTGTCAATCAAATGAAAAAGCTGTAGTCCTGATAATATCAAGACATACTATTTGTGGATCAGCATCCATAGGTAAATGATACCTGACAAAACACTGTCAGTGCATAGTAATTGTCCAGATTATTTCCTAGACTTAAAAGTGGGAAAAACACAGGCAATAGAAGTGCGTGTGTATACTGGTACAGCAACATTTTTGAAAAGAATAAGATAGGAAAAAACATGAGGAAAAAGTGAGTTTTAAGAAGGGCTTGAAGGAATAGTGGTGTGATAGAATGGGTTAAATTAAGTAAATAAGGAATTCTGTCTTATTTTACATGTGGAAATGGTGAACAGTGACTGTAAACACAGCGCATGCTCCAAAGGAGTATTTGCAGGCTAGTTCATGTTTGGCCTGCAAATGAGAATGTCTGGTTCTCTCTCAAAGGACGAATTAAGAAACCCATCAAGATACAATGTGGAAGAAATTATTTTTGAGGACTTCCCATTACTCACCTAATAAAAGAATCTTTTTTCCTACAGAGATGTGACAGTCTCTGTCGCAGGCTGAAGAGCAGCATGGTGATCTCTGGGGTTCTGAAAAATTGAATAAACAGTGAGTCAGAACACAGAGGATGGGGTTGTCTTTGTCTCCCATCCTCAGATCAGTCTTCTACTGCTTATGAGTCACATGTAAACTCTATACAATAAAGTTGTATGTTGACACTATAAATCTTGTAAGGTGCTTGCGCAGTTAATATTCCTCATCGTATATGATTTATAAGTATCATAGAACTTGTATTTTAAACAGGCTTAAAACATGAGGATGTAGCCTAACAGCAGCAGTGTAT